CAATGCGTTCTGCCTGTGTGGCTGGTTTAGGCTTCTCTGACAAAAAGCAGCTGTCCATATCCACATGCTCATACTTCATGGAAGTGGTGAAATACAAAAGCCTGTGTTTTAAAAAAAAAACCCACATTTTAAGAGGTGAAAATCCAAATCCCTACATTTCCCAAGCACAGGGAGAGTATTTTACAGGGTCTTTCACTAGTAATAGAAGAAAGGGAAAAGAAGGGGCATGCTGGGACAAAAAGATTGAGAAGTGGCAAATAATATTTCCACAGAACAATATTAATAGAAAATATTCTTGAAAAAGCATTCTGTTTGTGAATGCAGATGAAACTACAGCAGAGAAAGCTGCATTTTGTGCAGCTTTTCTATACACATTAAAGACATTTTTGATGGTATTTGGAAATGTAGCTGGTAATATCCATTTTCTGCCTGTTGTAACACCCAGATCATCAGTATCATGCTTGCCTTATGTTAAAAACCAGACAAATGGACAATGTCATGAAAGACATTACAAACTACAATTCATAATTACTATAGACAGTTTTCCAAAACAGGGCAGTTACACCTCTGACTTACTCCTTATTGAAAATAAGATTGCTGATACAGCCATGAAAGGAGCCAGGCATTTTTAGCCCTAAGATGCCCTCTCCTGCTGGAATGCCACCAGCATAGAAATTGGAAATATTCATGGGGCTCATTTCTGCTGATGAACCAAGCCTCAGTTCTGCAGGATTACTTTCATCCACCTGTACAGTTATGATCCTGAAAAAGATAAAGTAGGGAAAACATTTAAGAAGGGCCATAGACATTCATTTTCAAATGAAAAGCATTCCTTTCAGCCTCAAAAACGTGCTGTTCAAAGAAATAAAGATTCCATCACTTTGATAATCCTTTCCAGGTCCTAAAACTAGAAGACCTTCTTCTTTAGATAATTTTTAACATGCAGTTTTGCCAAATACCTTTCTCAATTATTTTGATAGGAATTTCTCCAAATTATTTTGATAGCTGTATTTTTTTTCTAATACTACTCAGTATACTTTACTCAAGTGGCCCAAGCTGTCTAGAGATTTTGAGAGCTTTTAACTACAGCTTCATCAGTGGCTGTATGCTGTATACAATTACCATGTAAATCAGAACACCTCCGTTAACAGCAGAAAAACACAGCCCTGATTATTCCACCTAATGAGTTAGCAAAGGCAGTTCCTTAGAGAGTGCAGTGAACTGACAACAGCATACAATAATTAAACAGGTAGTACTGTTTGCAGTCACATGTACCTCTTATTCCGGATTAGGATGACAGAATGTTCTTGTCCATCACTGTATGTTCCATTAGCAGACCGAGGACCTACAGCACGCTGCTTGGTTTGTAGGGCTACTCCTGGTCTATACCTTTGAGGAACATATATACCATCAAACCTAGATTTTGTTTCCATATAGCTGAGTTTGTCATGTGTCGTCAACCGCATCAGAAAAGTGGTTGCAAACAGCCAGGGACCAGGACCTGCACATCCCCTTTTACAGAAAGCGCCGCCGCGGGGGGAGGCTCCGCGCCGCCTGCAGGAGCCCCGGCTCGACGCTAGAGGGGACTGTAAGGAAGAGCAAAGGAGGAGACCCCTCGCTTCTCCTCCTCCCTTCCGAAATCTAAACACCAGGGCAGTGTTGCAGTCAGCAACGCTTTTATCAAGGGGAGGGTTAAGGTGATTGTTTTCTTCCTCCACTCCCCCCGCCCCCCCCCGCCCCATGCTTTCTGAAAATCATTTTATCTGCGCTTAAAACAATAAAATACTTAATTCCCTTTAAAACCAGCGGTTCCACTGAACGAGAAATTCTGCGCTGAACGTGCATTTTCTTGAGTGTACTTCTGTTCTCTTTCAGGTCCTGACTTGGACTTAACTCATAAGCACGGCAGAAGCGCTTTAATTCATTTACTTTTTTTTTTTTTTTTTTTTTTTTTTTTTACACTAGAAGAAACTATAACCTAATGTTTTGTCCATCATATTTCAAACCAGGAAACTAATTTTCTTTTTTTTTCTTTCTGTAAAAGGGCTTGTGCCTCCTGTGTTCACACGGCTGTTTGCTGAGGGCCGCAGTCTTTGGGCATTGAAGGGTTTTGTTATCGTTCGATACTACAAAAATACCACTACAGAATTGTTTAAAAAGAGGAGATGGATTTACTATAGATTTGACACCTAAAAAAAGGAGACCAAGAAATCCATCAGTGGGAATATCTAATTGCCACATTTTCAGTGTTAAAACTAGCAATTCTTTGATACGTTTGCATGTCGTACATTAAAACTGAACTGACCTACATACACGTCGTTTCTGCTTGCACGTTTACATTGTGGAATTGCTACTGTGAAGGAGTTGTGGAGGGAGACCATACTTCCACAACAGAGAACAATAATTTAGCCCAAAAATACCACTGATGAACTAGTCTTCTCTTTTTAGAATACACAATGGTACAAAAATATTGTGATGGATTACGTTAAGACTATATAAAGAATACAAAAATGCAAAAGAAAACAAAATAAAGTATAATAATGGGTATGTGTTTGTGTGTGTATGTACATACGCAAATGTTGCACTGACGTGTTTATATATCATTTCAGTTTACTTTTAATGTTAAAACAGGCTGTTTCATAAATGTTTGCAAGCAAAAAGAAAAATGTAAAGAAAATGTTAATTTCTTGGAGGAAGAGTTTGTTACCTAGGTTGACCGTTAGTTTAACTCGTCCTGCATCCAACTCTAAACGAAGGGTATCTGCAGATTCCCTAGAAGTAGTTGCCATTAAAATGCCATAAGCTCGCTGAGACCTGAACCGTAAAGAAACATCTTCGGCCTCTGTATGCATCACAACAGGAAGCTGTATTTTCATAAACATACTTCCATCATAGCTTAAAATCGTTGCCTCTGAAAACACAAAGGAGAAAAGCAGTTATTAAAGAATTCTATTGTTTACTGAAATTGCTCAAAGAAAAGGTGGTAAATGTATATTCAACTCAGTATGACCCAGAAAAATTACATATTACATATCACAATTATTATTGGGAAACGTGAGCAAAGTTGGTTTGGTTTTTTGTTAGATTTTTGGTTTGGGTTGGGTTTTAAGCAGCATATTTTGGTGCTTTTTAAAGAAACTAAGTTGCTCTTTTAATGAACCAGCCATTTACACATGCATCTGCAAGCAGATGGGTAAAATCACGTGAAAAGAAATGCTTGTAAGACTAGGCCTGTACTACTCAAAACAGGTCAAAATCAGTAAAAAATATTCAGGCAAACCTTACAGCCTATTAGAAGGTCATGACTGACTGTCATCCGCCTAGATAACTACTTTAGGATATTTCATTTTATAAACCTACCAGAATTGCTACTACCACAGCTACAATTATCATCCAGGTAGCAAAAAGATGCCTGAAACGGGTAAATATCCCCAGCATGGTTTGGACAGAGCACAGATTGCTTCATGACCACAAGGACTGCATTACGACAGAATCAAAAGCACGTGTACAAACATTACGACAGCCTCAACAAGAGGACTGAGACTGGACTTGGCATATTGAGGGGAAGATCTTAAAACCCCTGAGACAAGAAAAGAACTGTCACTTTCAGACATTACAGGAAACCCTCCCGGCAAGTGGCTCTGGCACAGAGTGGTCACAGTCAGTTGGACCCCAGAGCTACCAGCCACAAGTCTCTTCCCAGCCTTCAGGCTGGTAACAAGAAAGACTGCGTTTCTGCTCACAGGGAGGCACGGCGCTTCCTAGAAAGCAAAGGACACATCTGTTTCTGAATGTTTTAGGAAGTCCCTTATTGCAGGACGATCAAGCATTGTGGCCGGTTAACCACCACAGCCTTTGGAAACAGCTCTTAGGCTCATGGACAGTGGCACATCATGGTGGAAGAAGCAGCAAGTGAGCAACATCCTTTACACTAAGCCCACAGTCAGTGGGCAGACTGCCAGGAATTTCAGTAGGCTCTGTAGTAATGTACAAAACTAGCCACACCTCATAAATAAGCCTACTACCTGAATGGCAAAATATACTATTTGAATGTGCCCTGTTTTATGCACATCCGATTGCTTACCTACCACTAATTCACTAGAGACCTTCTAACTTCTTCCACGTGTCTCCTACATTCTTTAATCCACCCCAAAACTCTCAATCTTAGAAATTGTTGAAGCGTTAGATGATGAGGTCTAAAGAGGATGCTACAGAATCTTTCTCAGAAAAAGATGCAATCCTGACGCCACCTCAACTCACTGAAAAAAATATCAGTTACTTGCCCAATAACAGGCCAAATGAGCAACAAGCAGAAAGAGAAGACAGCAGAGAACACCTAAGGGAAGCTTCTCTATGCTTCAGTTTGCTGCAGTATAATGGAGACACTTACCTACAGCAAAGGTGGTGTATTGTGGTCCCACATGCAATAATATTTTCAAGGACTAGTACTATGTTAAATCAGTATCGTAACTAAAACAGTGTTAGCATTTTTTTTTTTTTTATACATCAATACTTATGACAGTTCATCAAAACCTTTCCCATTGCATATCTTGTATACTGTGAAAGATAGATAAGCTCTTCAAGACTTCCAGCCTACACGGTCCATGGAAGGACAAAACGTTCCACTAACTCTGTCAGCATATTGGAGGCAAAAATGGTAGATGATATGCTCATTAGTAATTCCAGACTTCCCCAATACAAATTTGAAGAAAACAGTTTGATGTTGGAAAAAAGGGATTACTAATACTGGCATGAAAGTCATTAGACCTAACAGGTTACAAGAATACATTTACAGGTTTGATGATTTCTAACCATGCAGGTAATAATGTTTTAATGTTTTCTGCATATTCTAAACCTAAAATTTTTCCATGAAGCAGATTAAAGACTTAACTCTAACCAGCCTGATAAGACATTTCAAGACAAAGTGTTTTCAGTGGGAGATGATTTGTTTTTGATTGTTTGGTTTTGAGGGGAGGAACAACAGACAAGAAGGGGCTTGCAATTCATTCTTACATCTAGCTGTCTAGTCTATGTGTGAAAAGCTCCCAAGATCTTTAGCAAGGTAAACACAATTTAGGTAATTAAAGAAATCAGACATAAATGTTTAAGTTACATGCTAATGTAAGAGAAAACAAAAGGTATTTTATATAGTCTGTTGAAAAAAGACACCTTAATACTGTTCAGGGTTTTCATAAACTGAGCAAAATCAGATGGTATAGGATGAACAGCATTCAACAACATTAGAGGTCTGTGGCTAATAATTTATCTAATGATAATGTAAAGGAAAGTTTTCAGAATCAGCACTGGTACTGTTTGCTGGCTTTCCTATAATTATTTGGTCTTCTAGAAAATTACAGAAAAAGGAGAGAAGGAACTGACTTAATTTAATCAGAGATGACCTGTGAGTATTTAACATCATGGTGAACAGACCTGATGTGATTAGATACTCAATCCTCCTAAACCATACTGTGCCAGTTATTTTGGAAACAGATGTTCCAAGAACAGACCAAGGAGACTGAACAGAAGATCAAATGACTTAAAAGCTCTGGGGCAATGAGAAACTCCTCTCCTGTCAACTAGCTCCTTCCAGTATGGGGAGCTCCAAGCTTTCCAAATACAAAGGTACCACAGAAAAAAACCCAGAAAAGTGGCAGGAAGCAGGGATGATTTGATTAAAGAAGATTTAGCACTGTCCTGAGAGCTGTAACTGATGATCAGAGACACTACGTATTCCTAAAAATAAAAAGTACAACTAACGTTAAGTTTACTCACTGGAAATGAGTCTGCTGGTACCAGTGTGGCTAGGAAATCCTTTTGTTGTTAAGCCAGTATTAAATGATTGCTACATTAAGAAGGTTGAATGATACTTTGTCAATATTGTACACCTCTCTAAGGATGGCAAGCTGGGTTTTGTGTGCGAATCGCCTATCAACTCAGCATCTCTTCCACTTGACTCAGCATTGCTCTCAGCTCTGCAAATTGCCATGTTCTGTTGGTCTTGGCTGGACACAAGGCATGTACTAGTATGGGTATGAGATCTTTGACAGCACAAGGATCTCCCTCTTCCCTTACTGGTGTCTTTCTCGCAATTCTTTGTGGCAATGCCGTATTACCTTATGATTATGCTTGGTGGCATGCATTAACAGAGAACTTTGTTTTTCAGACAGTAGGAAAAAGCAGTTTTCAAGATGAAATAAGAAGGGCTTGTTTTGTTTTGACTTTCTTAGAACTAGAGATTGCTTCAGTTGTTTAATGGAATTGTTCCCATCCTGCAGGTACTTCAGTTGCCCAGAATGGAGTGTTAACTTGTAAGGCCTGGTCAGTAAGATGGTGATCTGAATGAGGAGAGGCAGTGGGGGTTACACCTGTTATGTAAACCTCAAAGGAACATTTTGGCTAAAAGTATGTATTAATTTTGCCCCTAATTTTTACAGTTTTTTGCTTTGGACAAACTAATTCCAAAGGGGTATGTGTCTCATCTTTGAGATGTACATTGCTAACTGTTCTCACATAAGTATTGGCAGAATGTCTTTTCCTCTTGTTCAGCTTCCTCTTAATTACATTAGATTAAATGTTAATAGACCATAAGTTTAGCTCAGAATGTGCTATTCATTACAAGAACAAGAGTCTCCATGGCAGGGAATAATAATTTTACTATGACTTCAGTATTGGAAGCATAGCATTGAAAAGAAAAAAAGCACAAAACCCTTATAAAACATTACTGACAATTTTTTTTGTGGCAACAAATAAATGTATGCGGTAGTGTTATTAACGAGAAATAAAGAGTAAGATATAATTCAGAGACTGATAAAAATTATTTTATATGTTCTTTCATTGATATTTTTATAAACCTGAAAATGAAAATCCCATGCTGCTTCTGTGCTAAAAACCAACCAACCAAAAAAACCCACTCACCCAAACAAACAAAAAAACCACTGAAGGGTTCAGTTCCCCTCTCCATTTTTTTTTCTTCAATTTGTTTCTGATTAAAATCTCCAGGGTTGGATACTCTTCCTTGCTACATATATATACTACACCCTCAGTCAGCACTGTGCCTATCACCAAGGATGCACACACTAGTACCAATATGAGAGGAGATGCGGGACTTTAATTTTCACTTGTGCTGGGATTACCTAAATCGCTGAAGAGACTGAGGCACCTAGTTCCAGAAACTTTCCTACGTCTGTTTCTAGCCTCAGAAATGCTCAGACAAAACTTATGGGAAGAAACAGAATTTTCCAAATAGTTGTTATTCTTCAATTCGCAGCTTATTTAAATTAAGGTGAAATAACTATGGACTGGGCACTTGAATTTCAAGGTTCTTCCTCATAAGTTTTGCAGTCAAGTTTGTGCTGTTTTTAACAGCATGGTGCTTGGTAAGCACGGATGCTTAGTGCATGGATTTTAATAAAGAAAATGGGATCTTGTTTCCTCTGGACCCCTTGTGATGCCTCTAAAGTCCTAAAGACAGAACCTTTTTTTTTTCCTGCTTTTTCAGTTTAAAGTGTCTGCAATAATATGAAGACTGTTTTGCAACCCACGGAGCCATTTTTAAAGCATGAAATCACCCTCTGTGTCTGCTGTCTCCAAAATCACACACAAACTTTGCCCAGAAAGTGACAGACAATACAGTCCAGAGCCGTGCCAGGGAGTATGTGAACAATCTGGATCATCAATAACTGAGTATTCAGGTTTGCTCTCTGACCCTCTTTTATTTACCAGTATAAGTAGAGCAACAATATCCTGCCCTGAAAACACTCACTGATATATATGATTTTACTCCTATAAATTGTGTGAGTATTCAAATGTATCGATGGCTACTGATTCAAATTCAAACTTTCAGGCTTTGTTCTATTCACAGGCGTACACTCAGCTGAGCGCTGTTTGCCCGTTTTCTGTGGCAGCTACTTCAGTCCATTTGGGCCCAAAGCTGCAGCCCTGGTGAATCATGAGGAACCTTTGCATCAATCTGATGAAGTTGAAATGATGCCTCTGAATTTCTACACTGGTATTATTTCAGGACTGAGGTCCTAAGCCACACTGGAAAGGTGCTAGAACTTTAAGACACAAGACCAATTGTTTAATTTAAGTCAGAGATGGAATTGCTATAATATTTTGAACACATGATTCTTCATACCATCTATAATCATCTGCATTTTCCTTTTTTTAAAAAAAAGTCAAAGCATCTAGAGAAAATGCAAGGAACAAAAGCTGTATTTCTTTAATGTATATGTGTGTATGCAGGTGTGTGCGCATGCACAATGTGGACTTCTACACACACAGACTCTAGTTTAAATACACTTTCTCCTCAGAAATGTCACTTTGACAAATTTTTCTTTGCATGCCTACTTTTTCTTATCGCTCTTTGATGAATTTACTCTTGTGCATTGTTCCTAGCCATCCAGTCAAAAGTATAACCTGCAGAAGGCTTTGCTGAGAGGCAGTCATATATTGTGATCCACAAAGATAGGAAGCCAAATTATATTGCTGTGACATCTGTCTGTCCATCTGCTATAGTTTCCATAATCTACTAAAGCCAATCTAGAGATTATACTGATGTTTAACCTTACTGAAAATCAAGAATAAAATCAAGAGTAACTTGCAACAGGACAAAAAGCACTTGGATATAAAAAAAAATATTAATTTCAAGTATGCTGAAATTAAAATAGAACTGAGTTGTGTTACATATTTTTTGTGCACTGCTAAGCTGACCAAAACTACTTCAAATACTTCATTGTACACGATACATCCACATATGGATGTTAGTACTCCTATTTTAGGGGAAATAGCATGAAAAATAAATTACAATCTAAAAAATAGTTACCTGCTTTTGTTTACTGAAAATAAATATCATTTAACATTAAGTTAAATATGCCAGTTGTTTAATCTCCAGTATTTTATTCTAATGCTTTCCTTTCTTTGTGAAACTGCATTGTTTGTTGAAATGAACATGTTCCTTTTTTATTTAAATTAGTTTGAACAATTATAATTGCGTTGCTTATATCACCAAATACAAAAGTTTATCAGTTACTGCACACGGGTAGTAGTTCTAATAACTTTGCATGGTAGGATGCCAACACGTTGCTTTCAGAATCCCAAAAGCTATAATCTTATTAATGCATGACCATTTGGGATATGAATATTACTGGAAGGAGATCTCCTTTCAGTGTAGTTTCCTCTGGAGAGGGAAACCCAAGAGGAAGAAATGATCCCATACTGTCTGAAGTGATGCATATATTTCTGTTGGACAAGAACCAAATACCATTGCAGAGAAGGCAACATCACCACCATAGTAACACCATTCCCACTAGGGGAATGCACTGGGAAAATCAAGCTCTATATTGGAAAACAGTTAAAAGGAAAGTATGAGAAATAAAAAAGACAAGAGCTTCTATATAAAATATTACCACCTGTCAAATATATTTATGAGGAACTGCTATGATGAAGCCTGCTTTTAAGTTCTTTGCAGATCTGCATGTGTTTTTGTCTCTAATGCACGTTTCCTAGCTCAAGTTGAAAAAAATACAAATCCTATTTTTACTTCTGCCATATGTAATAGCTGAATTTTGCCACAGGGTGGTACAGCAGACATGTTTAACTGAAGGCTTTTGCAATGCATCAGACAGCTCGGTTATGCCCTCTGCCAGCTTCACTCCACCAGTAACAGAACAATCTGGAGATTTCCTAATAACTGGCCATGAGCCAAAGGCATATATATTTAAAAAAAAAAAAAAAAAAGACAGAAAAATCCAGAAGGAACTGAGAATCTACTTGCAAATGCTAATAACATGATGCTATTAATTCTACATAAGTGCACATGCCTATTTACATATCGCTTAAATATTCATCTGGTTTTTATTTTTAAAGAATACTTTTTTATTTCATCTTACTAACTAGAAAAATTAATCAAATTACATGGAAAGCACTTATTTTCCCAGTCAATAATCTTTAGGTTTAGATTTCACCTTGAAGAGAAACTCTACTGTGTCAATTGTCAGATGAAAAAAGTACTTCTGTCATTGAAACATTTTCTATTTCAATGAGAATAAAACCGAACACCTAAAATATTAACTAAGCTTTTTTGTTGTTTTCCTACTGACATTAAAATCCCTTATTAGTGTTGTCTCTAATTTTAAAGAAATTACAGAGTTTTCTTCCTACAAACCAACCTCAGCGTTTGTCTTCCTTGCACTATCTATCCACCTTTTCAATTGAATAAATGGGGTTTGTCAAATTTACACTTACCTTTTCTAGGCAAGAGGGATACTCAGTGACTTAAAATAAGTAGAAACTGTTTCCTTGTATACTATGATCTTTAAAAAAAAGTTAAGAAATACAGATTCCTACACTGATTCTTTTGCTTTGACTCATGGCTTCAGCTCTGGCCATGGGTTTAAGTGGCACGGTGGAATTAAAAAGTAAATTGACATAACTAGGCAGAGAACGAGACCCCAGTTTGGAATTGGAATGTGACCATTTAGTAACACAATAATAATTGAAATTACTTTCACAAAGCTTTTCAGAATTCAGCAATGTACGAGGAGATACAAAAGGAGACATTTGCTAAGACACATTTAGCAGTACTGACTCTCTGTCATAGTCAACTAATACTTCTTCGTGTGTCTTAGAAAATCCCCTAAGATCTTTCCTCTAGAGTTACTTCTTTCAGTCTAGAGCAGGTCTCCATGTCACATCAAGCGAAATCAAAGACATTTTTTCTGCCTCAAAAGAGTTAATGATATTTTACCATTTTTAATCATTGTGCAGGATTCTATAAAGTAGAAATGCAGACATCTCATGGAACCTACCTCTTCCGCATGATCTGCCAAGGTACCCTGTGCCAGAGCAATCACAAACATATCTGTTCCACCCATCCCTGCATACACCATTGTTTTTACATGGGTTGCTAAGGCAAGGTTTTGCAGTTTCTCTTGAGCATGAGGGTTTTACTCCAGCTGTACTTTGAATTTCAGCCATCTGTCGAATATCTTTGCTTTGACCATCAATAAATAAGTCTCTAATGCAGCCAACGTATCCATAATTGAGAAGTGCTGTCCACACCTCTGTTGGGAAGACGAGGCCTGCTTTATTTTCTGGTAGGCCTCCAAGATACAAGTCATCATCCAAGTCAAGGATTTCACTTTCCCCTGGTGCAGTATATGGTGTACGTAATGTGTTCACAGATATGGTCCCTGAGAAGAAAAGATAACAAAATGCGTCATTCTCAAGACATTTAAGAGATTTTGGCACTGCTGTTTTATACATTAAACTACATGCCATGTTAGGTCCTGGCAAATATCTATAAAGGACACATAGGTATTCTATTTGTACAGCTATACAATAATACATACACTTCATTATTTTGATTACAATGTAGTACAAATACTGTCAGGAAGTAAACAATGTACATACATTTATGCACAATACTGCATGGTCACAATATAAAAAAAAAAGTCAAAATCACCTTACCAATCTTGTAGGGGTGGGGGGAATGCATTTCAGAGTTATTTCCTGAAATATCCTGCTTGTGCAACAAAAAAATGTCTTCACTACATCCTGTGTGCTTCAAAGCATTAAGGCTGAGGTTGCATTGATAGGTTGCAACCCGGGAGGCAAATCTGTGTCTTTGCTTTGGATCCAAAGACACAGTATTTTAAAGACTCTCACCAATTTCAGTGGGTTTTGGATAAGACATTTTTCTTTAAGTGCAGAAGGAAAATACTCTCATCAGCTGCCAGACAGGCAATCATTAAGAAGATAGTGATGTGCTCCTAGAGGGAAAATCAATGCCTCTGACACTTACCTCGAAATGCGTGCATGTTACAAAGAGAGGGAGAGAGGATGTATATAGAACCTCAGGAAATCAGAAGTATCTTTTCCATTTAAGTTAAAAAATAAACAAACAAAATGAAGCCTAAAGTAAAGTTCTGTTTCTATGAAGTGTCTGAACAAAGAAACTGTAATCAGCTGTAAAGATCCTCTTTGTTGTATTTTTTAAAAGTAATGAGGTGTTTAATTCTTACAATTTGAATAGGCAGAAAACCAAATTCAGCACATGGAGTCACAGAATATACTTATGTCAACCAAATTTAATGTTATTTACTAAGTAAAATCACTTGAAAAAAGTCTTCATGTAGATCTTCATAGAAGTGACTCCTTGCCACTCTATATGGGTGCAAAAGCAAGCAAAATATAAATCAAAACATTATATAGGTCACTAGATTATTATAATGTACCACCACATTATGCAACACATATCTGCTGGACACACTATTAAATGATGACAAGACACTGAAGAATCACATTTACCACAATGTGTTTATCATACATATATATGTAAAACTAATATGATTCACTGTTTCCACAGTCAGCATGACACAGATTCCAGAAGGTAACACTGATTATCAAAACCACTTTCACTGCAGTAGGAGTGGTGCATGGGAATAATAAATTCAGAATTTTTATAGCATAAATACTGAAATGTGAGTCTTAAGCAAACAGAGGCAGGTCAGAAAAAGATCGTCCTCTTACTTGGATATGTCCTAAAAGTTAGGCTTCTCTTTTAACAGTGAAGGAGAGTCCTGGGGGAGCTACATATTTTGTTTGCTCTTTTTTTGGTTCAATAAGTTAACTTCAACAACATGGACAGAATGAATATCTAAATGGTTTGTACCTTTAGCAAAAGCTCTTTGGGGTAGAGGTCTCAGGAGATCCAGCTCCCATGTGAGACTTGAGATGTATGGATTTTAGAAGGGCTGGATAGTACTACTACTACAACAAACAGTCTCCCTACTATCGGCAGTGATCTAAAAAGATAAAACAAAGGTTTGCATAGCCTTTGTGCATCTTCATGAGCATTTTTAAAGAAAGTTTGAGGATGTGGTCAGTTTCCATTTTATGCGTTATCAGAAATGTTTTCTGTGTCAGTTGAGTAATTGCATAGATGTAAAGTGAACTTCCAGTCTTAACTGTAAGAAATAGGCATGTTGAACCAAGATCCTTTTTCTTCCAAACCTCTACCTGTTTAAAACTGATAAGACTATTATATTTTGCTAACTCTAAATATTTGTATTGCTGCTCAGATTCTGGAAGCAAAACTTAGCACTTGTATGGAACATTTGCTACAGATTTGACCTTAGGCATACAAGCATAAACATTTTGAGGTTGGATTTTCTTAATCGGCTGCCTCAAACAAGGACGCCTGTGAATGACCTGTTAAACTAAGATTGCTAACTTCTCTGAGAGCACCCTAGGTATCAAGAAGGACTGAATACAGGCAATAGATCATTTCTCCTTAAAAAAAAAAAAAAAGAAAGATTCTGTAAATATAAATCATACTTGTGCTCACAACATTTCTTACTGCTGTTATTGCTTGCTCCCTCCTCTTGCTGTATAGGCTAATTTAGGACCAAATGCTTTAAACCAGTGTTCAAGGCAGCACTTGCACCAACACAAATTAACTCATCTGCAGCCTCTAACCTCAAGCCTATGCATTTTCACAATGCTATTTTCTGCTGGACAAAGACATTTGTGTTTTCAATCTATCCATGATGCTAGACGACACCTAGGGCTCTATTTCTATTAAAAAGAAAAAAATAATCAACTAAATCTTCAAGGCTTTCAATGCACAGGAAAAGACAGTTAAATCTCAGTCAGTGTAGCTGCAACATTAACATAGTGGTTGAAAATGTAAGTTTTGCAAGCACAGAAGGCTGAGATTTACCTGTCTTTTCCTGTAGATCACCACTACACTCTGGTGACTGAATTTATAGTCAGGTGATAGACTGAAGCAGAAAATTTCTTCTATATGTCATAAAGGATTACCTTGGAGAGCTTAAGTATTGTTTTAAATAGATATCAACAGCTGCTTAAAGAAATGAACCTTTCCTTTCCCCTCCCCAAGAAATGACACCATATAAGACACTCCTGGGGAGAAGCCCTCCGAAATCTTAGTTTAATCATAGCATCTAATAACTATGGGCAGGAAAACATAACAGGCAACAACTCTTCTGTGCATCTTTTTTGTTTTGGAAGGCCCTATTACCCAGTTGGACTATTTACTGCAGGACACATCCATAACACTTCAACTGACCTACATATTGTGTGTACTACCCTTAATCAAACAACCGCAAGTTAGCTTTAGTTAAGCCTGTTTGTTGAGAGCTACACCAAGTCAAACAGCACCTGCAGAAGACTCAAAGCTTTAATAACTCACCCTGGCTCAGCTGTTACATAGCATCTTGACCAGAATATCATATAGAACACTGTCTAGAAATGAAGTATGGCTCTAATACAAATAAGTTTTGGTCTAGCTAATACCAAAAACCCATGCCTGGGCACCAAGATTTTTATGTTATCAGTTACCAAGTTATCCTAGTTTCCAGCTGAACTTCTAGCAGCATGTCCAGGCAGCCATACAACCATCACTGTTGTTGGTATCTAAATTATCTCTTATGTATCTCTGATGAGTAATGCAAACTTTAATCATTAATTGCTTTGTAAAGCAGGTGAAAAAATCCAAGAAAAATAAGGAGGGGGGATGAAAGAAGACTTAAAAATACATCAAAAATTATGGTTTTTTAAGTATCCTAAAATAAAACGCAAACCTCAAGTTCATACAACGTTGTCCTACAGAAAATAAATAATGGTACTATAAACACCTTCGGATTCACAACGCATCCAGAGCTGTGACACAGAAGTAAAGTGTGCTATTTCATCTAGCTGGGCTTTTTTTGTTGGTTCGCCTGTTTGTTTTAAGCCTGTCTTTCTTGAGGGAAAGTTTTCAAGTTCTACTGAAACTTTGGACCTCATGACAATGGCAGATGCTACCATGGACTCTAGGAAGACTAATACACACCCTCTTTGCTGGATTTCAATCCTACTTCCTCTGGGAATTATAGGCAAATTAAAAGGAATTGTTCTGTCAAATCACCAGTGTGCTCCAATCCATGTGATATTTCTACTTACAAATGTGAAGAGACATCACTTTCCAGATAAGCAGGAAGAAGGGAAGCTAGTAGAGCATACAAATGTTTTATGTGGCCAGCACAGGAAATAATTTGCCCTGTAAAGATAATGTAACATCAACCCTTCTCACACCAGAATTCTCAAGTTTGATAGGAGGGAAAAGAATGGGACATATCTTGTTTTACAAAATAACCTAAAGGCAACAGAATATGATGAGGAAGCAGCAGATTCAGAAGAGCATTGGCCTCTCAACAGAAAGAGAAAACGATGACTTAAATTGTAACATCTCTGTAGTAAGAACCATCCTTTCAGTTATAACTTTGCATAGTACCTAGCATAACAGCACCCATAACCAGGTCAGTAGTTACACTATTTCTTTGAAAAGAGCAACACTAGAGGCAATAATGTCTGCCAGGAAACAAGCAATTTCCTTGCAAAGTTTTTTAATACTCATAGTAGGAAATATTTTCTGTATTTCTACCAGAAAAATGAAAGAAATGGGAAAAAGCTGACAGCATTTGGTTTGTCCAGCCTGAAAGAAGAAAAAGAGGAAGACTGAAAGACAAGAAGGTGTGGGGTGATTAAGGGTACTATAATGACCTATGGGTGTTCTGATGCTACAGCATTTCACTTGAGAGCAAAATGCAATTTAAATATTTAGAAACATCTTTATGTATTGGAGGAACAGTCTAAGAAAAACTAATGGGATTATGATTTTTGACAAGAATAATTTTTTACTTAAAGTATAACAGATTAGTAGGCAGATCTTCAAAAGGAAGAGTCAACAATATAAGCCAACAATAACATACATATGAGCAAAATGGGAAATATATTGGGAGCTACAGAGAAGCATTTATTGACCACTGGTAAGGTTTACCTTGAACTCTGAGAAGGATGCAGATCTGCTGAGAAGACTGCAGAAGATGGCAATAAAAATGGTCAATAGCTACAGAACATGACATATAAGGATAGGAAGCTGCTGGGGTTTCTTAGTCTATGAAGAAAACTGGAGACTGACACAACATAATAATAAAAATTATAGAGCTATGACATAGGGAAAAAGCGCAGTGTATTTTGTGCCTGCTGTGAACAGGAAAATTACAGACATAATGCCTTGTTTTGCATACAAAAATATTCAGTTTTTGAATGGTCACATGGGGAGATTGTACAGCGTCCACAGCTGGAGCTAACTCAACAAACATCTGTCAAGACTGATGCAAGTGCACTGTAACCACTTTCATTGGAGGGGAAAACCAGAGGACCTCTTAAGGTCACCTCATCTCAAATTTGCTATGAGTTCATGAATAAATGAAAAACATTACCAGGATCATTGGAAGATTTTTCTTTAAAATGCAAGATAAACCTATTATCTCAAACATGTACCCTATTAACATTTGTTGAAATAGGAACATGTAAATCTGGCAGTTCTTAAAAAGTTGGAAAGATGTCGGAAGGACTATATAGAAGTCTACATGTAAAAAAAGAACCTGCAACAACAATGCATGTAATGGATGTCGACAAAGCACAACCTACAATGAGATACTGATTATAGTTAAGCTCTAATTACATACTCTAGAGATGATTTATGGTATTTAAGCTGAAACTCTAGCTTTAGTTCAAAATTTCAGTGACTTCTTAGCCCTTAAATGCTACCTACTCAGGAATATATTCCGATACATTCTTTTCACACTGGCATACACAATTGGAGGTTGACAAAAAGCACAAGTTTCCTCTCCAATTCACTGTCTAATGATGATTTCCAAAGGACGAATGGAGGTTTAGTAAAAAAAAAAAAACAACTTGCAAGGTTATTCTTAAATATAGTAAATAGTTTAAGAACATTTTAAACAATACTCAAGTCTCAGAAAACAGTTATTAAACCTAGCCCTCCTGTGTTAACAAGAAACACTGTGAGCAAAGACCTTTACAGGTGCTCCATGGTTGTTGGTTTTTTTAGTTTGAGGTTTGGTTTTTTTCCCCCCCAATTCTTTTACTGCAGAGTTGGCAGTACTGTTAAGAGCAGAACAGACAAACATTTCCCTTAGGTATGAGTTAATAAACCTCTCCAGTCATACTCATTACCTCAGCAACTTAGTTTTTCATAAGTCTGTGTATAAGAAACTAAGACATCTTTCTAAATCCTGTCTCAGTTCTGATCAGTTAAGTATGAAGACTGAAACTACAGCTACTACAGCTATTCTGATCTCTATGCTTACCTTATGTGGCCTGTTTAGTTGCTTTTTATGCATGTGAAACACATTTGCTTATTAAGAAATGGCAAAAAATCAGAGCAAGGTATTCTAAAAACCCTTTACATCTTGTGTGCTAAAGCATGGTATTATAGCAGTGATGAGGACTGTGACCATAGCATACAGCCTGTGGCCAAGGCAGGACACACATGGAGCAGCTATGAAGCTACCGTCCTTTGCAGGAATTCAGAATAACCATGAATACTGAAAGGGAACTCAGCTCACATGACAGGACACACCAGTTGGTACCAGGTTGAGGTCTTCTGCTGTATACTTAAGAAAAAAAAAAAGACAGACTTCTGGAGAATGCGTGTTCCCTTTCCTCTGCTGCATACCTAGCAAGAAAGATGGACCAATGGAGAAGGTATGAAATCTTTCTTTACTTAACACTGGGAAATAGGGTCTCAGGAGTTCCTGCTCACTGAAGATCTGCTTTTTAGGCAAGGAAACACTCAGAGTAGGTCTTACAGGCAGCAGGATGGAAATCCAGGTTGAAAAACTTCTATAAGAATAATAGGTCAAAAGTTTCTTCAGCAAAAGGAAATGAATGGACAACAACTCTTCCCTCTTCCTTGTATCTCCAAGAATCTGAGGGTATCAGCAGAACTACTGCTGAATACAGCCTGGATAAGTACAATTTAAAAATGTGCTCTTATTCCTTACATCTCCCCACCGCAGTCCCAGACAGGCAGTGGCAAAGTCAGTAGTTTAGAGTGGATGCTCTCTGTGACTGAGAGTCCAGAATAGAGCAAAGAATGAAAAATAAATCAAGTTCTTGCTGATACAGCTAATATGAAAGTCAGGGAAATTAGCAAAACTCCTTGAGAAATGTCACAGCTTTCTATTATCTGAGGGAGCCACTCTGCATTGGATTTGAAGGCTAGGAGTAAAAGGTTGCAAGACACCAAACTTCACTTTAAAAAACAAACAAAAAAAAAATATCACAGGTTATTTATTTGAGCTACTTATTCATTAATAGGAGAATTGCCTCCTTTATACTTGATAGGTTGGGAAGTATTTTGTCAGCAGCAACAAGAAAGTCTCAGAAAAGCCAATTTGTTTTTGTACAAGTTATATTCATTCACTTATACAAAAATTCTGAAGGTAAGCAAGTGAAAAATGATCATATTCATATGATGTTTATTCATATGATGTTTAGTTTTGGCTAGAGAAAAAAAAATGAAAAAGCTTCCTGGAATAGTAAAGTGGATTTTTTTATTCATGGAAAAAAGAATAATAGACCAACACGTTTAAGTCATGAAGAAATAATCTAAACATAATGCATCAGTACTTCCTGTTCCAATCAGCAGAAAATAGGAACATAGAGTTCATTGTTTATTTTAAATGTTAGGCAGTCATTCTACTTGGTGAAACCTGGTGGTCTAAGACACTACGCAGCCGATATTCTTATTAAGAAAAATAACAGCACTGCCACTGTTATTCGTCCTTCTCCTACTGTAAAGTATTATTGTATTTATTAAAATCACAGAGAATCTTTGGTGTCTGGTTCAGATTTCAGCTAAAAGTGCAGTTTGTCAAGCCATATGCCTATATATTTATTAACTATTCCTGGTAACAGTTCAATGTTTTAGGGTGAATAGGTGCTATGGTCAGTTTACAAGAGTGACAGGGGAAATGGAGTTCACCTGTCTTGATCATAGGTGATTCATCAGCTGGATTAATTATTCTTTTACATATATATTTGACTATTTATAATTCTACTCACAAATAGTATGCAGTCATGATTGCCAGGCATGTATTGCTTCCTAAAATTAGCCTACATTCTTGCTGATGTCCATCAACAGTTTTAAATTAAATAAAGTATGTCCTAAACTCTCTTAATGGCACTTGTGAGCTTACAGTTTTTACAAAGCAATGAAAGTGCAGAACATATCTTCAAAATGTAAACAATTGCTATGCATTTATTTCTTTTCTTTATAGCTGTGTTGACTTTGGATGTAAGAATGAACTTTGCTTTCAGTGGAGTCCCACAGGCATGATTATTACAGGATTTACTGCCTCATATGAATCACTGAAACAGCACTTAAGAAGAAAGCCTGAAACGAAGATTGTAGTATAAATAATATAACCGCTGGATATTCAATCACAATTGAGGATTTTGAGAAGTTGTGTGTTTTGTTGTTTGGGTTTTTTGGTTTTTGTTTGTTTGGGCTTTTTTTAACCTCAAGAAATGTAGATAAGCAACTGACACATAATCAGAAAAATCAAACACTCTACAACTAGAATTTGAAGCCACACAGCCCAGGAATCAAATTATTTTTCATAATCTTAGGGCAGACTGATCAATTAATTTGGTCTGACTCACAGCATGGATTTGACCCAAATCTTCAATTTGAACCTGCTCCTAAGATTCGCTTCATCTGAAATCTGATTTGTGGGTAGTAAGAAAGTAAGTCATAAAAAAGTAACTTTTTGGGGGTGAAGTTTCAGAAAGAAATTAGAAATGCAAGTCATGGAAAAGGAGTCACCAGAAGGAATAAAGTAAGGGGAAAACCACAAAATCCAAAACAGGAGTAGTTTGCATTTTTCAGCTCTCAAAGTGTACATAAACTTCAGATTAGATACTGATATTAATTTGAAAATTCTTTGAAGGAATGAATTACAGACTCACTACATTTCCTGTTTGTCCTTCAATTAATGGATATTGATAATTTGCTGAAGTTGAGTTATATACTCAAGATCAGACACAGCTGAAACACCAGGACAGTTTCACTACTTAAAGGCACTTTATGCTATAACATATATATACACACACACACACCCTTTTCAGTGAGATCATTTCTTGAGTAAAATACTACAGAATACAAATCATTCTGACAGAATTATGGCAAGTCACTTATTTCCATTTCTGCTGATATGTATTGTTAGCCATTCATTAGCATATTATTTAATCACGCTGAGATCTGCTGACATGATTGGAAAGCCTGTGCTGTTTCTGTGGACCTACTATTCCCTATGTTGGGGATTACTTTCAGTAAATCTTTTTTGCTTTATTTTTATTCTTGAAACTTGCCACTTCAGCTATTTGGTGTAAGCAAACAGAGGGAGATTACTGCTTGGTTTTGAAGTACACAGCACACTTACTTGCAAGATTAAGTACCTGATTACCCAATAAATGTTAACATAAGATATTTTACTCTGCAAATCATTGTATTCTGGTACCTGACACTAATGACTTCCTATATTTCCCTTATTTTTCAGATGATGCACAACTCTAACAGTGGCAATATAATACATACCCACTGTTCTCTCACATACAGCATGAAAAGACATACTGAATATTAAAAGAAGAAGCTTACCTGACCGTCCATCCCGTTGAAAATCCACATGGTACCATTCACCATCATTCACCTTCTTCTGCAAGGCTTTTATTTTTATAGTACCTGATCCCATGTCTAACAGCAGATAGAGGTGGCCATCAAGCATCTCAATGGCAAAAAAGTCAACCTTCACCATCTGTGGGTGTTTGGCATCTTTTTGGTGCCTTGGTTTTCCATGACTGAAAAGAATCAGGCCATTTGGCTCAGTTGTACGAAAGTCAAATGATATTGAGCCTGTTTTCTTGGCATTCCACTTTGGCAAAGAGATGAAAGACTCTGGTGTTTCAAATGTGATTGGATCTAAGGTTGCAACATTCTCACATTTAAATGCTACAACCCCATGAATCTTCATTTTAGGATCTCCTTGCTTGGCAAGTCGAGATAGCTCCAACCTGACATCGTTATTTTTATATACAACCTGCAAGCAAAGCAGAGAAGTTATTAAGAGGAACTTGACCATTTTAACCAAACAGATGTAATCCTGAAGAGTCATATTATTTAAAGGATAATAATGATGGTATCTGAATATGATAATGTACATACACACAAAATTAAATAACTATTTTCATTGACTAATGATTTAATTATAGTTTTCCCTAAACCAAAGTTGCTCTAAAAATATCCCGAGTTAATTCAAACAATCTGAAGGATTCTGCACATAATTTACATTATCAGTCGCAAATTAGCTTGCATGGCCTTGATTGCTTAAAAGCCCGCTTTGCACAGCTATTCTGCTATGTTAG